TGTTATTATTGTTGTTGTTGTAAATTGAACCAAACTATAAATTTTCTCAATCTTTTTCAGATCCTGTGTATTAGCTGGCCATATATATACTTCCCCTCCCAAAATGGAAAAATCTCAAATTAATTATTACTTTAATACCAACTCCCAAAATGGAAAAATCTCAAATTAATTATTACTTTAATACCAACTTACAAAAATTACCACAGTACCACACATCGACAATGGATTTGCAATAAATATACTATATATACTCCTGGATTATATTATTAATATTATAATAATATATGTGGTCATCAGCGAAAAAATTGACAGCTGTTCAAGTGCTAATGACAGACAATTAATTAATGAGAGCAATAATCTTTATCTCAGATTGTCAAGGACTTTGTGGTCTATTGACACCAAATTTCGCTCCTATGTAGCTCTATTACAATGTAGTATCTGTTCATATACTTTCTCAACCTATTGAAACACAAAAAGCCAATAACGTCTCCACTGAGGAGAGAACTCACAACCTTCCAAATGGAAGTCTAACCCCGATACCATTAGACCACATAGTCCTAGTGGAGGTAGGCAAATCTATTATCTATCTATTATAATATAATAAGAGTCAATAAAGTTAGGCCTATAACAGGAATTAAAAAATATTCGTTTAATTATTTATTGAAATGAATAGTTCATTTTCATTTTGATTTTATTAATTTTTCTACTTTACCCCTTTTCCAAAATATTAAATACCATCACATTCTGTTAGTGTAAACTTTAATAACGAAATATTTCGTTAACTACTTATTATTCTTAACCTACTCATTGATTTTAATAAGAAACATTTTAGGTTCGAATCTCATTCCAATAAGATTCAAGTAATTGTTGAACATATACTATCAATATGTTAGAGAGTATTAAAAAACACAATATAAATTTTAACATGAACTTTGGTAAATTAATTAGGCAGACAATATAGTATTTCAAAAAAAAAAAAACAAAAACAAAAACAAAAACAAATTATATACATAGCATTCAAGGTTGAGTATCAAAGATTATAAATAAGGAACCTTGAAAATCATTTCCTTGCATTTTTTAAAAAATAAATATAGGTTAAGTTTTTTTCTTCCATTTTCTTTTTTCATTTAATTAATCTTTCTTTTTGGTTATTTAGAACAAGACTCAATATTTTAATTATGCTTTTGCATTAATGGAAATTATTTAAGTCATTACGGTATTAATATTTTTTGTCTGTATTTTTAAATGATACAATTGTATTTTACTTTATAAATATTGTACTAGTATTCTTTATCGGACAAAATTGTTATTACATCATTAAAGTTCCACACACACACACACACATATGACTTTGTTCTCCAACCTAAAATCCATCCTAGCGTGGCTTATAACAATTGGAAGTTTGGAACCCCTCAAACTTATTATCAAATTAAAGACTAAATCATCAAATGAAAAAGTGTCATGTCAAAAAGGCATTACTTTTATATATATATATATATATATATATATATATATATATATATATATATATATATATATATATATATATATATATATATATATATATATATATATATAATCATGATCAAATAAGAACTGGGTTTATCGTGATAAGTGTGGACTAATTTGATTAATCCATCTAAGATGATCAATGGCTAAAAATATAAAGTGGTCAATTTTAGAGGTGTCAAACTGACGGGTTTGGACAGGCCCGTCATTGGCCCGCTTATTTTTTGGACCGGGCTTGGCTTGATCTGGAAAATGTAAATTAAAGTCCGGCCTGGTCAATAGCCCGAAAATAAAAAATATAAAAAATTATATATCAATTCATTTAAATTATGTTTTGTTTTTCTAACTTAAAAATTATTACCAAAACTGAAGAAATGAATATTAATCATGAATGATGCATTGTTGCACTATATAAATTTTACTGTTGTATAAATACTTACCCACTTTACTTAAATGTTAATGTTGCATTGCTGCATTATATGAATATAATAGATTATAGAGTAATAGAGAGTTAGAGACTAGAGTCCTTATTAATGTTAATTACGGTAAATTAATATATAAAAAAAAAAGTGAATGTTACTATATATTAATTAATGAAGTCAAATATTACCAGTACACTTTAAGTATTTAACACATTGTTAATTATGTTAATATAATGTATATTACTATTATTGTATCTTCGGAAATTGTATGTGCCAATGGACCGACCCGATCCATGAATCAAAAATTAAAGTTCGACCATGTCCATAATATAAAACCTAGTCCGCCCATTATAGTAAATATACAATTATATAATTATTAGTTTAAGAGAATCAACCTAGGTATTTCATGCATCTATTTCTTTAATATAACAAAACTAATTAGACCAAATATGTTCTTTTTTTGCAAACTAGAACTAGTAACTAGAGGTGGCCACGGGCCGGTTCAAGGTCGAACCAACCCTGAATCGGCCCGGAAAAAGGTGGGTCTGAACCTCACTGGACCTAAGTCGGGCTTAGCTCGAACTGAAACCGCCTTGTTAGGAGGCGGCTCAGGTTCTTTTAAAAAAAAAATTCGAAGCCCATCATGGAACCAACCCATGGCCCATGCCCGAGCACGGCCCAGGCCCAGGCAAACACAGCCATGACAGAAAAGCATGCTAGCTTTGCTTCCATGGCTAAATGCCTAAAATTCTTTTTTTTTTTAAATAGTAATTTTGATTGTGGCAGCTAAACATATTACTTACTACTCATCCCTGCAACGTGCAACGGCCAAATATATTTGGCCGTTGCATGTAGCCTCTGTCGGAGGCTAGACTAGACTTGGCCTCCGGTAGAGGCTACTCCTGTTCTCGCCGCTCGGTCAGTGCAACGACTAAATTTTTTTGTTTTTCTTCTTTTTTCTTTTACCATTTTATCCTATAAATACTCTTATCCAATTTATTTTTATTACACAAAAATTCTTAATCCAACACTTTCTTACTTCTTTTGAGAACACTTTCTTACTTCTACTCACAACAATTCTCCATAAATTAAAAGCAAACTCAATTTAAAATTCTTTTATAAATTTTTAATTTATCATCTAACATAATTTAGTGAGTAAAAATCAAATGAACTTTATAAACTATACTACATTTTATAATATTTATAAGTTATCAAATAATATTAAGTCAATAAGTCTTATATAAAGTTTTAATACTACAAGACTACAAGTTCAAATGTATTTAATGTCATTTATAAACTTTAATTAGTAGAAAATCATGTTAATTTTAAATTTTGAGATTAATAACAAAAATATTAATTTTAGAAAAGTGACTGTGTGTAATGTGTATATATATACATTAATTATTATTAATGTATTAAGAGGTTGTAGTAGCTTAATTGGAAAGAATTTAAATTAGTGATTAAGATTAAGAGGTTAAGCGTTCACATCTCATTTCAAACAAAAATATATCAATTTATAAAAAAAAATGTATATATTTAAAACAAAATAAACAATATAATAAATTACGGGCCTAGCCCGAGATCGGCCCGGACGCCCTGAATACTATGGCCCGGTCCCGAGCTGTGTTGACCAAGGCCTAGGACTGGCCCGGGTCTGGACTTTGGCCAGCTCTACTAGTAACCCAATTACACATGAGACACAAGAACTGGCCAGCTCTACTACTAACCCAATTACACATGAGAACAAAAAAGAACCGGGCAAGTAATTCTAACCAAAAGTAGTATCTACTACCAAATACAATAAGTATTTTGATAATTGTTTTTAGAAAAGTGCAAATTAAATATTAATTTTAATGTCAATTATAATATGCATTAAATAGGACGAATCTGATCAAATTATAAAAAATGTGGTGACATTTTTGTAATTACTGTCAACTTCACATTGCAAACTTGAACACATAAATATGCATTCTGTAATAACTAATAACTAAATAAACATTCTTGAATAAATTTTATAAAATCAATGAAAATGCTAAATTTTAAATCTAAGTCATAAATACTTAAACTCTAAACAGTAAAAAGTAAACCATACACCAAATAAAACCAAAAAAAAACTCAGTCATAACTCTAAAAATCTAAACGCTAAGTGCAATGTTTTGATACTAAATATGCATTCCGTAACAAGTAAATGTACAATCTTGAAAAATTCTTAGAAGTGTAGATTTTAGTGTTCAAGTTTGTATAGTAAAATTGGTAATAATTACGAAAATGTCGTCATATTTAAAAAAAAAAAATATATATATATATATATATATAATTTGATCTGTCTATTTAGTCGAATAAATTCTTTTTATATTTATTTTTTTAAATTATGAATTACCAATATATATTGTACTGATTGTACAAGGTAAATCTACGATTTGGAAATTATAAATCTACAGTGTAAAAATTATGAATCTATAGTATAGAAATTATGAGTCCAATTCCGTGTGCACCATGCATGGTGCACACAGTTGCAAAAACAATGTTATTTTGATGTCCGACTTAAAAAAAAAAATCAGTTTCGATTGCCGTTAACGGCATTATGTTGTACATAATTTGAACTATATAGTTCATTCATTCTGGATATATAGTTCATTCATTTTGAATATATATTTCATTCATTCTGGATATATAGTTCATTAATTCTGGATATATAGTTTAAATTATGCACAACATAACGCCATTAACGACAATCGAAACTGATTTTAAAAAAAAAAAAAAAAATCGAACACGTCATTTTTAATCAAAACGACGTTGTTTTTGCAACCATGTGCATCATGCATGGTGCACATGATTGCACGGTATAATTTGCACTGGCCGATCCACGGGTTTCAATCCGCCCAGCCAACTCGTATTGACAAGCCGTACACTCAAATTTAAGAGCATACATATAATTAATGTATTTCAAAGACCATAATTCTTTGCATTCCAATATGCTCAAACATATATATGAACAAATACAAATACAATAACAGAATTCATACTTAATTTACGGAAGAACTGAACTGACGAATTATTTACATCATATTTTACTGCTAAAATGTCTCCTCTTGCATTGTATTATTCATTCATGCTAAATTATTTAAAACACCAATCTATCTGTTTGCAACTTATACAGAGGTATTAACAAAGCTGCAAATATTTTTTCTAGATCCCATGTCCCTCAGCTCATGAGAACCAGTAAAAACAGGATGCTTTTCAATATTTCACTTTTGTGCTTCTAGGAGGGATGGATCATCCAGACATGTTTTTCTTTTCTTTTCTTTTCGTTCCTACGAGGATGATGAGAGGGAATGTCGGTCTCTTGTCAACTATTTAAAGCTGTCACCTTACAGATGGGGCATAGGTTCTTCTCCATTAACCATTGTTTAACGCAATTCATATGGAACTCGTGCCCGCACTCCATTATGCCAATCTCATCCTCGCTAACGTACTCCTCCTGAATGAATGAAAAAAACACGAGTGACAAACTGTTTCTTATGGTAAATTCATTCAGTAAAAAAGAACTGTCAGATCGATGAATCTCACCTGGCATATACAGCATGGCTCCAAGTCTGATGATAATCCTCCACAGCGTTTAGATTCATACTTACGCTGTTTCAAAACCTTCAAAATGGACTCCTCACTCAATCCTGTGTTCACGTTCCCTATGCGTTCTTCCAACGCCAACAATTCCTGATAAACTCAAAAATAATCAAATCACAATAGTCGCTCATGGGTGGCGATGAGATTCGAACCCATGACCTTTGGTCTGACTCTGATACCAAATTGAAGCATGTGCTCCATCTCAACTAAAAGCTTAAGCTCATAGTTGGATTACACGTTAATGGCTATATCCTCAACAAGGGAAAAAGTACTCGGGCCTCACCTCATAAGACATGTTGTCCACATCAAGCCTCATATCTCTATGCCTATCGTGAAACTCGCCAACCCCATTAATAAATGGTTCGTACATCATATAATCCTGAAAATAGCTGTGTAAGTTAAACACGTATGGCATCACATTAATCACACAATGCACCTCTGAGGCTGTCTAGAGAGACCGGGTTTTGCTTTAAAGCCAAAGCACAAAGCAAAGAATCACTTTTTCATGCAAAACGACGCTTTTTTAAACTTATATTATATCAAAAAGAGAGATCAAGATCAAACCTCAGCATGCAAGTTCTCAACCCTTCTCATAGCATTAAGTACTTGACGAATCTGTTGCTACGAAATTGAATGACAATAAATTAGACCACGGAAAACATGCATGTAGAAACAAAAATATGTAAAGAAAACCAACCTCAGTTGCCATTCTGTGCCTCCCGTCAATATCACCAGCTAAAGCACGCCAACCACTGTGATCATCACCTGGAACGTCCACCATCATAGATGATCGGTTATAAGGACGTGAATGACGGTTAGCCCTTCGAGATGGCCCCTCTGAAGTAGTAGCTGAATGCAGAGATGAAATATGACCTCTCCGGCTTGCAGATTCAAGTTCTGCGGGTGGGAAAAGAGTCCAAGGGGAAAACTCGGATAATCTTTGATGGCTACTACTAGTTAGGTTCTGATTAGGCACCCATGGAGTATGAGAAGCCTGCATAAGAGAACCGGAACCAATTCCAGAACCAGAAGGAATGTCTGCGTTCCAATTAGTAGTATTTTGTACAAAATTTCGAGCCTCGGTAGCAGAGTTCAACCTGCGATTTTCCGCATTATTTCTCAGGGAGCTCCTAAATCTGGTTTCACCTCGAAATATTCCACTTCTCCCTCCACGGCCTCCAGATACCATATTCGAACCTGAGCTACCACCACCTTGCGAATCATGTGATCCATTCCAGGGAAACGAATGCCTGCCCCTTGGAAAACTAGGACCCTGCATTGATTGAGACTGACTTGCTGTATGGCTCGGATTCAATGGCGCTGATAATGGCTGTCTCATTTCAGAAGAATCATTTATCGAGATAGGTCTGGGCGGCATATCAATAGAACTAACAGTTGAATGCCCCATGGCAGCTCCAATTGGAGGTAAACCAAACGAAACTGATTCCTGATTCCTAATATTTGCCCAAGAACCAATTGCTCTAGAGCTCTCTACAACACTATTAACGCTTAAAGGCGGGAATCCATCAGCAACCCCAAATCTTGAACCATGTCCATTTCTTGAGTTGCGTTGCTCCGTAAAATCAACAGGATTGGACGGTGACGATATACCTAAGCTACCAGAACTATTATAACAAGCAGGAACATTATGGAGCACAATGTCCTCGGCTCGTGGGTTGGAGCTCGAACTTCCACCCACAGACAACTGGCGGGAGCTACCTTCTAGAGTTTTCCGCTTGCCAGATAAGCCCCACGTGCCCCAAGAAGAACCAGACACATCTTGGTTTCCAACCATATAACCAGAATTATATGACGTCCCGGTATTATCAGAAGAAGCAGCGAGAGCTGGAATATGCTCAGCCTCTGATCCACCAAACTTGTAAACATTTGAAGGTGCACCTGTTCTGGTGACGAGATGACCATCATTTCCAGGGCTATGATTGGAATTAAAATGATGCGTACTAGGCCTGCTAATCGGATGGTTGCCACCATAACTGCTACTGAAGCTCTTATTAGCAAAAACATTGGAGGACTCAAACCCCCTTTCTTCTGACCCTTGATCAGCTACAGCATAATTGCTCGATGAAGAAGGCCACATATGCCCTGCTTTTAAATCGCTGCAATAAACACGACCATTTAAATCGGCTGCAGAGCTAGACTCACCTTGATCCCAGCCACTGAAACTAGGAGCACTCGGAGAACCAGCATAGCCCTCACTAGCAGCAGGCACTGAATTTGAAAAACGGCTCCCTGCTGGATCAAGAATGTTATCCCAAGGGCTAGACCGATCCATGGAACTGCTACTGGGCACCAATCCCTGATTAAGGTCAATGGTTTCAGTTAAGGAATCCAAAATACTTCTTCCTCCTTGCATCTTGGTCAATTCCTAGGAGCAAGTTATAGCAAAATTATATGGTAGGCCCGAATTCGTTAAATATAAAAATGAAAAAAACATTGGAAATAAAACCACAACTTTATATATTTACAATATCAGTTGCCACCAAACAAATCATCTATTGAAACAAAGAATACCCTTTCAACAAACGGCAGAAGATATGCTCATAGACATAGCAATGTGGGATAGCAAGAAGCAACAAACAGACAATTAAGTAATCAGATGATTCTGAGCTAAAGAATTTCATTGTTCTTCATGTGACATAACACCATATAACATAGATTGTTTTCATCCACCAGGAAACACCACAAAACGAAATTACAATCAAGAAATCACTCAAAATCATGCATTGCAGCTGAAATCTTTTAAAAGTGCCTTTTTCCTTCATCTTCTTCTGAAAGTGCAGATTGCACCTACATGTTTGCGAATTCAGTAGAAACTAAATTGAATCAAATGTAAAGAGAAACACCAATCAACTGGCAGAGTAAAGGTATACGAGGTGAGGAACTTTATGATCATGCCAAGTGATTTTTCAAAAAAAAAAAAAAAAAAAAAAAAAAAAAAGAATCTGTCGGCAAAACGTAAAGAACTTAACTTTATACAACACTAACAATAAACACAAACACCATCACCAAAACCAACAACTTTTGACCGATTGGATTCCCCTAAAAGACTAAGTCAAGCCTCCGATATCACCGAACAAAAATATGCATTAGTTTAGAATACTAAAACGAGCAAGATAATATATAAAAATCAAAACAACCAAATTGAAACTGGTAAATGAACAAAAAAAAAAAAAAAAAAAAAAAAAAACTACTCCGTAGTTTAAAAAAAAATCTAAATTTCTGAGAACCAATTAACAGTGGCAGAATTCCCAGATCCTGAATGCAAATTAAACTATTACAACTTCAAAATCCAATCTTTCACAAGCCACATACCACCAAAAAAAAAACAAACAATGATAAATTTTCCATCAAAATTGAATCAGAAACAGGGTATTAATAAATTGAAGACAGAAACATATGGGTCAAAATTAAAACCTGAAAAACTGATAGCAGAAGATGATCGGATTACGCGAAGAGGGCAATAAGCACAAATGATATATGTATGTGAAAATCAGCAATCACATTCTACGGTAGCAAAGGGTATGTATGTATGTATATATAGTACGACGTCGTAGCCGAAGCAGCACCGCTGGGCAAATGCAGGGTAGTGAGGTGTGGATATATACGGAGAAAGAGTAAAAGACTCTACGTATGATGGTGTGCCTCTGCGTGGACGAGAGAAAAGAGAACAGAGGCCCCTAACATTAACAAAGATTAATGGGAAGTTTGTGGCTAACCTAGTAATTAAGGCGTTGTTGCCTACAATAATCTAATCTCCTTTCTACTTTTAACTCCCACTACTTTACTCCCTTCGTTACCTTTCCTTTTATTTTTTTATTTTTTCATGGGTGACTTTATTTACACATTTCAAAAACAAAGTATCCTATGGGCTATGGGCTATTAAGATATAATAATAATAATAATAATAATAATAATAAAATCTTTATATAAAAGAAAACACAAAAAGTATAATTTTTTTTGTTTGAGTCGGTTAACTATGGATAACCTAAGCTAGTTTATCTTTTTGTGATTTTTCACCGGCTATGGTCACAATGAGCGATTTACTTATGGTACACTGACGGATAGTGGTTGGCCTGCGGGTTTTTATCATCACCAAAAAATAATAATAATAATAATGTTTGGTTAGAGACTTTAGTACCATACTATCGGATTTGATATTTATTACCATCTTTGTTTGCCTATTTTTACTATTCTACTATTAGATTCAAATCCCTTTAGTAATCATAAAATTCATTATTTTTCTTGTGACAAAAGGTGGAATTGTCCACCACATGCGCCCCCACAACACCCCGACCCGACATCATTGTGTGGAGGGGTAAACCATGGTGACTTAACTAATCAACAAAGACTAGACTGTTGTTCACTGCGCATAAGGAGTCCCCTTTGTTTAAAGATGTTGCTCCCACACTACCGTAAGTGAGACTCAATTATTATTCTCTTGTGACAAATTTTACCTATGTGACCAGTTGAGCTACTCATACAGGCAATTCATTACATTTCTCATCCCTAATTTTGAATAATGGATCAAAAATAAAAAATAAAAACATCATTGTCCAAGTATTTAATGGAGAACTTTCATATATATACACATTTATGTGTGTGTGTGTGTGTGTATATATATATATATATATATATATATATATATATATATATATATATATATATATATAATTTTATTTATTTATTTATTTATTCCAATTCATATTTACTACCGAAACAAAAAGATTTATGCTACTTAAATATATTACAATTATCAAGTATTTGATCTCAATTAAGATTTTGATTTCATGTTTAATATATTACAATTACCAAGTATTTGATTTCAATTAAGATTTCGATTCCATGTTTAAACTAAATGCCCCATAAGTTTTTTAGAATTTTGGTATGAATTATTATTTAAATTTAAAAAATATGTATGGCTCAAAATCTAAACCTCCCACATATGAGAGCAATCCGATACCAGTGGACTACAAGCCACTTGATAAATATATATCATATTTGAGAAAACCAAATTAATACTCCGTATTATCATATTGAATTAATTTCACTTTTGGTCCCACGACTTTTGAGTTCTTATCATTTTTGGTGCACAACTTTAAATTTTTTCAATTTTGGTGCCTAACTTTGTTATTTTTATCAGTTTTAGTCCTTCCAGCCAAATCGACGGTAAAATATTTCCAGATTTTATATTTTAGCGGCAAAATCGTCATCCCATGGAAAGATCTTCAATATTTAAACAAAAGAAAAATCATATTAAGAGGAAAAGAAGAGTTTGTCAATGGTCGAAACTATAAATCCTATAGATCTGTTTGGTTTCTGCCCGTCTTCCCCATTATTCTCATCATCAAACACCTATAGATATGATTTTACAGTGATTTTTTTAGATATTGAAAATGTTTCCTTGGGATGACGATTTTACCCCTAACAATATAAAATTCAGCAAAATTTCGCTGTCAATTTGGCCAAAAGGACCAAAACTGATAAAAATAACAAAGTTAGACACCAAAATTAAAAATTTTTAAAGTTGTGCACCAAAAGTGATAGAAAATCAAAAGTCGTGGGACCAAAAGTGAAATTAATTCTATCATATTTTGGAAATAAAATCAAATTAATATGGCTTTGCACTATTGCCTCGGCTTGGCACACCCCTCACTGAAAAAAAAAATATTATTATATTTTGATTTATCATATTTTGGAGTTACAACTAACTTACTAAATTATATAGGATTCAATATTGTTAAAATTTTAATGGGAATATAAAAAAATATTGATTTAATCATGTGCATTGATAAATTGTCATTTCTTTAGATGATGAAAGAAACTCTTATTTACTATTTTATGATATACGCGAAGAGATCCTATGTAATAGCATACAAACAAATTGTTTTCTTCTTTGTATATCGGTAAAATATTTTAAAATTTACCCCCTTTTAAAATTTATTTTTTCTTTTATATACAAACTTTTGTAACACAAATATTCATTTACTTATTAATATTCTTAAATTGACTTATTAAAAAATATTTTATAACATAACTGTTGGTTTTATGACTTTTGGGCAATCAAAGTAAGACAGGCCAACACTACTATTAGAATAACAAGAAAATAGGAATAATATAGGAGGAATATATGGAGAAAATATAGGAACTTTGTAACATATTGGGAGTCTTAGTTACATAATGAGACATAATTCTATTATATTAGAGATAATGAGTCCAACTCTAATTATATCAGGAATAACATACCCAATCCTTGATAAATTCTTGGGTCGCTCCGTATTGTGTATCTTTCTTGGACTTCCACGATCCGGTTGCTTTTCTTAGGCCGGTCCATATGGCCCAGGCCTAGTATGCTCGCAAATTATTCTGTGGAAACGTGTTCACCATGCGCATGGTGAACACAGGGGTAGATCGATAATTTCTATAATGTAGATTCATAAATTATTTATTTTTTTAAAACGTAGATTCATAATTTTGTTTTTCATTTGTTGTTACAGATATTATGAATCTACAGTACAGAAATTATGAATCTATAATACAAAAATTATGAATCTACAGTATAGAAATTATGAATTTACAATACAGAAATTATGAATCTACATCTTAGAAATTATGGACCTATCCCGTTAACAACAAGTGAAAAACAAAATTATGAATTTACGTTTTCAAAAAAAAAAAAAAAAATATATATATATATATATATATATATATATATATATATATATATATATATATATGAATCTACAGTATAGAAATTATGGATCTACCTCTGTGTTCACCATGCGCATGGTGAACACGTTTCCACAGCATAACTATTGTTAGTATGCTATCCATCATCATCATCAACAACATCCAACAACAATAACATTGACAAATATGCATTCGAACCATTATCCTTAGAATTCCAACATCAAACATGAATGAATTATTTTTCTTCTCTTGACTTCTCATCATCATCATAACTTCCATTTTCATAATTTGCAAATTCTTCACCTCAAGCTTATGATCCTTGGCTTAAATCTTGAATGGTAATTTTCAAATTTCAATCTCATGCTTGTCTAGCTAGGAGTTTTAGCAATCCATGAATTATCCTGGAAACTCATCATTTTGAGACACCCATATGGTTTATTATTACTACGTACTACTACTACTACAATTCAACGTCAAATCACCTTAAAAAATTACATGGCATGTCATTCAATAAGTTACCTGATGGTTTGCAAAAAGTACAAATTGCACTTTTTTTTTACAAATTAAATGGTCTACTTTGATTTTTTTTTTTATTCAATGACCTAATTGAACTATTAATACTAGCTCAAGAGCTTATTTGATTTTTTTTTTAAGTATTTATTCTTTCAATTCAGCCAATAGTATGCCAAATGACATATGATGAGATTAGTGCAGGAGCACAACTCAACTGATCAATCAATCCAAAATAATTTTAAAACTTTTGTTTTGCTTACAATCGCATGGTTAAAGGTTTGTGTATGAATCTGACATTGTTATGAGACACATCTCGTAATTTACTTCCTTTACCAGTTTTCAAGACAGAAATAGTGAGAAACTCTTAAATTTGAAAAGTAAAAAAGTAGAGACAGAATCGTGATATGTTTAATACGGAGTAATAAATTTATGGTTTAAACTTATTGTTGGAATTTTTAGCTAAAAATGACATTTTGAGTGATTATTTTGTGGTACAAATATATGTGGGTCCACTTCCGATTTGGGTCGGGTCAAAGTGGATTCGGGTTCTTCGTAGTGAGACGAAGAATTTGATATAATGTACGCTCAAAATGAGTAATAGGTGAATGAGAAATTGATTCTCAAAGTGGACCTATTGGAGAGAAGTAAAAAAACTTAAGTTTAAATGCTAATTAGAAATCAGCAGTTTAATAACTTTCGTTGCACTGCACGAAAGTTGTAGAGCTTAAGTGTAATTAAGCTTTGGTTGCTTAATTAGTGAATTGGGTTTTTAGCACCTTTCGTGCTATGCTTTCATGCTGGACGAAAGTGCATGCAAAATTGAAAGCTTAATTATAAGCTTTAGTTTCATGCTGAAAGTTGGAGTTGTGAGCTCCTTTCGTGCTCTTCTTTCGTGAGCTACTTTCGTGCTGAGCACGAGTCAATGCTATATGCATTGATTCGTGCTGCACCGTTTCGGTGGTGTGGACCACTCGGGTGTGGTTTCCAATCCCAATTCGTTAAACCTTCGGGTTTGTACGGACTTCTCGGTCACTCAGATATTTTGAAACAGGTCGTTGTGGTTGGTACGAATTAATCGTGTATTAAGTTCGTGACCGTTGGAATTATTACGATAATAATTACGACCATTTCAAACGTTATTATCCAATTATTAAATCTTGGATTTATGATTGGATTAATGGCCATTATAATGTTTTAATTCCTTTTCCCTTACAAATAGTTGTGGATGTTGGCAGAATGAATTTCACTCCGTTTTGAAACTCTCAAAAACTTTTGTTTATTTTCTCTTAA